TGTCAGGCACTACAGTATATGGTTACATCCATAAATGCTGCTTAAAAGTGTACTGTGCCAAAAGAAAGCCCTATGTCAACAGTGTCCGCAAGCGCAGTTGACTGCTCTGGGCTCGGAGGCATCTGGGACAGACCATTACACAGTGGAAATGTGCAATGTAGTCAGATGATTCGGTATTTTGGGTCTTTCCTGAAAGGAATGGATGCCGTGTGCTTCAGACCAAAGATGAAAAGGACCCTCCAGATTGTTAACAGCAACAAATCCAAAAGCCATGGTTTATCATGGTCTGGGGTTGTGTCAGTGCCAAGGCCTGGCTGTGGAGGAAAAGGGTGCGCAAATTGGGTCAACAAAGACCCAGGGTGATTGCACACCTTAAGACTTGTTTGCAGGAAGAATGGAACAAAATTACACCCGACACACTGAATCACTTGGTGCCCTCAGTCTCTATTAGTGCTCTGCTTTCAGCTGTTCCCGTCAGGGGTTGCCACAGCGAATCCAATTCATATGAGTGATTTGGCACTGATTTACACCGGATGCCCTTCCTGACACAACCCTCTCTATTTATCTGGGCTTGGGACTGGCACAGAAGTCACTGACGTGAAACCCCTGTGGCTAGATACACAACCACGCCTGTGGGCAATTTAGAGTCTCCAGTCAGCCTAATCTGCATGTCTTTGAACTGTGGGAGGAAGCCGGAGCACCCGGAGACAACCCACGCAGAACAGGGAGAACTTGCAAAATCTGCACAGAAAGGCATCATGTTGGCCAGGGCGTGACTCTGGAACCTTCTTGCTGTGAGGTGACAGTGCTAAGCACTAACCGCTATGCTGCCCCAGTGTCGTCAGTCCCTAAATGTCTTTTAAGTGTTGTGAAAAGGAACGGCACGACCACACCATGGTAAATGCTTTACTGTCCCAACTTATTTTGGAATGTGTTGCAGATATCAGCATTGAAGTGGGTGTTTATTTTGAACAAAGAATAAAATTGATGAGGCATCACATCAAATAATGTTCTGCTGTATTGTTTTCAATTAATACAGGACACAGATGATTTACACATCACTATTTTATTGTTTTGATTTTTATTTTACATTCCATCCCAGCTTTTTCTGATTTGGGGTTGTATAAAGTGTAGATGCAGTGACTGCACTTTCAGGGGAAACAGCATGAGTTCTTCCCTTTGTTGGAGCAGCTGCATCTTGCACAAGATCTGTCACAAAAACTATTCTATTTATGGCCAATCTTTTTTTTAATGAACTCAGCCTCATTGATTGTAGGTAAAACATCTCTCCTCCCGCTTAGTCTGTGTGCTTATCTCTGTCTTGAGGCCACCCCCTGTGTTTTGGTGGAGATAGGAGCGATTTCCTAAGATATGAATGTTGATAGGTTGTTCTTACATACAGTGGGTACGGAAAGTATTCAGACCCCCTTAAATTTTTCACTCTTTGTTATATTGCAACCATATGCTAAAATCATTTAAGTTCATTTTTTCCTCATTAATGTACACACAGCACCCCATATTGACAGAAAAACACA